CCGTACGATCGCCGAAGTTAAGCAACGTTGAGGACATCCATGAATTGTATGTGCGGGTGGTGTAATGGATAATGGCTCGGAATAAGAAAGCGCCGAGTTTCAATTCCAGTTGGGTTCGTTATATTCACTTACGTGCAAATGCCCTTGTATTTACTTGTACTTGTTGCGACATTCACATGGAATCGGTTGAGTCGGATCCGTTAAACGAATTTGCTGACGTACAAATTTTCAGGAATTTGGATTCACAGACGGTCCCCATACGCATGCGTACACATTTTAAAATAGTGCGATCCGAGCGTTTCCTGAAAAAGTTAGCCTGACGGAGGCCAACCGTCACATGCTGATTTGAATTCCGGGTTTCTTTCTCTTATAGTTTCCTTCACCCAACATTATAGGGACCCTATCCATTTATCCATAGCTGCGAAAGAAATGATAGATTTATCCATTCCCCAAGAGTATTAGCACGTAAGTGAATGCAATGTCTCGACTGGAATTCGAACTCGGCTCTCCGATTCCACAATCCGAGACGCTAAACATTACTCCACTGTGCCTCCAGAAAATACCCCTAGGAAAGGTATAAATCTACCTTTTCTTTTCCTATGGGTTAATTAATAGAATAAGATTTTCTTTTATAAGAAAACCATCATTATTTCCATTAAAATTCTTACAATCCCAAAATATGTTTCGGTTTTAAATAACCTCCAAGATGTTGATAAGCCGTAAAAAAAATTCAGTCAATCCAAGTTGGAAGAGTGTACCAGCCTAGGAAATCAACGTCTGAAATTGTGTCTTCAGGGAAAACGATCGAATTATCTCAGCCAAAAAGCAAGTTCTTTTGACACTTTACTTGCTCATCAGTAATGGAAATCATTAACTACCTAAGCACAAACTCATACATTTTGTCTTAATTGTGTGAACACCTGTGAATGGCATTTCTTTAAGCAAAATCTTGTCTTAATTCATTTTTATTACGATCATAAAAACGGGGAAAATGAAAAGGGGGAAAAAATAAGTAACTTGTTACTGTCAAATCCAGAAAACAAATTCCAGTACCTGTAGATCAACAAAAACATTTACAAAGCAAGCAGTAATATACCAGTCAAAGCAAATATTTCTGTAAAATTTGGTATTTCTACAAAACAAGGAGCAAAATATTGTGCAATTTCATAAATTCCTTAATTCCTTTTTCCTGAGTGAATCTTTCAGGGATATTTTTATTGATGTCATGTTTATTCACTTCCAGGAATCCTAGTTTTAGAGTTAAGCTCTATGCGGACACTGATTCCTGGTGAACCCCACTTTTTTGTGGTTTTCATGTCACTCTCATACATGATACTGCTGCATTGGATGCTGAGTAATTTTTAGTGTATTTTTTTTAAACAATAAACCATTCCTTTTGATAATATCAGCGCCTGTTTAATTAATGACAATAATAATAATCCACCCTAACAATAAAATATCTCACGATAACGAAAAATATTTTTTTAAAAAAACGGTGTTAACCCAAAATAATACGCACCTGAAGATTACATAAGCATGAAACTCCGAGTTGTGCATCCAATATAGGGTATTATGCATACTTTCAATATATATATATATATATATATATATATATATATGTGTGTGTGTGTGTGTGTGTGTGTGTGTGTGTGTGTGTGTGTGTGTGCAAATATAGAAAAATAGGAAAGAACCGTTAGGTTAATAATCCAAAGTTCTTTAGTATTTTTGTTTTTATTTTTAAAAAATACTGACTCAATACATAAGTACAGCCTAAATTATAATTACATATATATATATATATATATATATATATATATATATATATATATATATATGCTAAACACGATTCGGTGTGTGTAGGTGGTGTCACAGAATGTAGAGAGTTGAGGTCAAATTTCTGGGTCATCTGTTGCGTTCACTTCTGCACAAATTCCCGTGAGAAAATCATGGAATCATACAACAAACACTATCAGTAACCCTCTACCTCGAATGGCTTTTGGGCCTTGTCTAGAGTGAACATTTTAAAAAAGAAAAAAAAAAAAAACAGTGAATATGAGAAATTTATTTTCCGGGAAAATTATTTTAAGAAAAAGATTTTATAAATTTTACCCCAGAGTAACAAAGTCAATGAATGTCTAATGTTTTCTGATGGCTTTACATTACCATTTGAAAGAATTTGAAATTTTTAGGCTGCCTCTAGAGTTATTGACAAGAAGGACCACCTCGATGGCGTCACTTGTTGATAGCATTTTGTTTGAATGTTGTGACCCTTTTTATTAAGTCCTCATCATTTTTTATGTGCTGAGTTCCTTCAGGATATGACTCTTCACATCTTCCTTTACATTGTAGGTCTAAGAAGACGTTTAGTGCTTTATCATTAGATAGTTTACTCACTGTTTCCATCTGTCCCTTCTGTCCGGTGAGTACTTAAGTCCACGTTATATGTACCAGAAATTTAAGCTCTCTGATTCTAAGTATAAGTGACCATTTTTTTTTTTCACTGCCCATAAAGCATTCTCGTTGCTCGCACGTCCAAGATCCGTCGGTAGTACCACATCTCTGTCGTTTCAAGTCTCTTCATGTTCGAGGAGAGTATCCAGCATTAACTACTATATACAGCAGGCATCTGTTTATCTCGTGAGATAAAGTTAGCGCCCTCTCTGATCAAAACTCAATCCTTTCGTCGTGAAACTAGAGTGACTTCTCTAGAGATCAGACCTGGGTGATCGTATATGGAGGCCATGCACTGCCCAGACTACATGCTCGCACACTAGACCGTACCGACAATATATAAAGGTATACAAGGCATTACATTTGAGGAAGGCGTGGTTGCAGGAGTTGCCGGAAAGTTGTGAGTGTTGACAGAGAACCGTCTTCGGGGTTCCACTCTGGCTTTTCTGTCTATTTTTACTTCCATAGTTTTTTTGGGGGGGGGTGCGTGCGTGCGTGCGTGCGTGCGTGCGTGCGTGCGTGCGTGTGTTTGGATATGACCGCAAGGCAACGAAGGCTTAAAATCAGAGTTTTCCTCACCCTAAATGGATTGCCTTCCTGGGTTGTCGAGCTCCATCTACCCGAAGTGACTGGTCATGAGGCGCCAGTTTTCCGCCATTGCTCATTCGTTTGGAGCCGGACTTAGATGTTAAAAGCTATTTGGGACGCATGCCACGGAAGCATTTTATAGACAGTGGGATTTTGTCCCCACTAATGACCTCGGCTATAAAATCCTTTGGAACATATATAATGTACGTATATAAACATTATATACAGGGTGGTCCGAAAGTTTTGTCGTCCCTATATAATATAATTTTCTGTTTCAACGCTCTGTAAGGTACTATATAGAAGAGATTTTCACATGAACGATGTCACAATACCCATCAGTTGAAGGACGCCATTCGGAGAGCCTTTGCAACAATCAATAAAGTACGAAAGATATCACACAGGACATGGCGCCACATCATTTTGGGCTATGAAAATGATGGATGTTCATACAGACCTTCTCGATGTGTGACGGCGTCAATGAAAGTGAGTCAACTGAATCCAGTAAATGTGATTTGTATCACTGTATTACAACTAGTAATGTTCTCTACTTTTCGGTGGGGGTGACAAGACTTTCGGGCCACCCTGTGTATTACGTGTTTTAGATTCTAAAAAAAAACGAAATTAGAAACAAAAAAAAATGAAAATATAAATCCGGATTTAAGTCTAAAACGCTCGGAGATTACGAAGTCATTATTTAAAATACAATAAATTAATTTATACTGCTATTTAGACAGTACTAACGCCTAAACTGTCAATTGATAAAAAGTGAACGGGAGTAGAAAATGAAAAACTGATAAATATAACTTTAGGTAAGCAAGAAATGAAAGAAAAATGAAACAAACGATCTTCAGGTTAGTTCTACAAAAACACTCATACTCGGTAACTGTAGAAAATGTTGAAAGTAATTATAGTAAGCAATACATACATAACTTCAAAAAATATAATAATCCTAATCTATATAATAAATGAAAAAGAATAACTGCAAATTATATTAAATTATTATATTTCTTTGAAACAAAAATTTACGTTTTTCAGTTAACCTTGAAATCCGTTAATTTTTTAAGCTTTGACTGCCATATTGGAGAGCTTATATCAGACTGTTGTTCAGCACACTTTTCTTTGCTTTTCTTTTTACTGACTGTTAATACTTTGTTTAGTTTCTAGAAAACCTCTTTCACTATTTCAAATCTCCTTCAGATCTTTGTGCCACATCTCCGTCGTCTATTAGTACTAAGTACTTCCACGGACTTTCTAAAGAAAAGCTAAAAAACGCATTTTAAATAATTTAAATGTCTTCTTTGAAATTAATTTTGGTTTTATTTGAAAGATAATAAACCACAATTAATCCGTAAAAACAAAAAAATAGTTTTACGTCTTTAAATATTTTTTTTACATTAAACAAAAAAGTAAAACCCACTTCCCATCATGTTGAATTAGCTAATTTCAAACAACAAAAGAGAAAATTAAACATTTTAAGAATCTATTAAAAATTCAATATCAGTCCCAAATATTTGTTTCAATAAAAAAAATTTATAAATTTATGAATTAATTAACTAGATTTTGTAGAAATATTACTTTTTACTTAAAATTTAACAAAAAATAGATTTTTATCTGATAAGGCTCTTTCTTGCTTGTAGGTTCAATGGTCAAACAAATTCTCTTACAATATGGCAATGATAGAACAATAAATAAAAATAAATAATAACAAGGAGATCAAAATTTCACTATCACTAAAAGGAGACATATATTCAGAATTGCTAAACCATAAAGTCATATTTCGACTAACTAATCAGAAGCCGCCCCAACCATGGTACAAACATCCCAGTCTAGTGAGCGAATCAGAAACAAGAAGTGCTTCAAACCAGAATATAAGGTCACTAATCGTGAGCCAATTAGAAGCAAAGCGGCACTTTTGAAGCAGATCTCTAGATATGTATATAACAAGATGCAAAATTTAACTAAATCAGAATCGATTAATTAATTGTATTCATTCTCCGATGCTGTGGTCTTCATGACATATACCGGACCGAACGACACATGCGCGACTCACTATAACAGATATCTGGTGGCAAGGGACGTTGCCATAAGATTACCATAACAACTGTCCCCACTATTCTCAAAAAATCGTGCCAAAATTCAAATAAAGAAAATCAAATCTACTACAAATAAGAAGCGTGTTTACTTTGAAGAAGAAAAAACTTACGAATATTTAAACTTCATGAAATTTTTAATAAACATTTTTTTTATTTCTTACAATATCAAAACGAATATAAAAAGAAAAATAAAGAAAAAAAGATTTAAAATTAATTATTTCCATACAAACATTTATTAAAAGATAAATAAACTAGAAAAAATGATAAATTAATTGAATTTATCTTTCTTTTTTTATTCTTTTTCCACTGCTAATGTCAGAAAACATATGAATCGCCTCCAAATATCATACATACGTTAATATGAAAACTACACTCAAATTTAAAAAGAAATTGACAAAAATCCGGGAATTTTAATGAAAATTTCAGCACTTATTCCTTAATCAATTGATTTTTTTTTTAACTTTGTGGAAATATTTTTCAAGTGAATTATTACCAGTTAGCCTATTCTATGTTTTCCAATTGATTTCTTTAACATTATTGCATTTCTAACAGTATTATAATGTGTGTGGTCACTCTCATCATAGCAGCAGAAATAGCCTCGTGTTCACAGGAAATAAATACATACTTCACAGGAATAAAGCATATACAGAGGTTACAGTAAATGCATGTTAAATTGTACATTAATATCACACCATTTATTTATTTTATGTACTGGCGTGTGTACTTTTGTTACAAATGTTTTTAAGGTTGCATGTAATAAAAGGAAGAAGTTACTTCGTATTATCACAAGCAATGCCCCGGAGAGAATGTTGGGACGTGTTAATTGTCCCAAGGTTGATAGAGAAGAGATTGAATTCAACGTCTTTTGGCGATAAGTCCGTTTTTCGGCAGAAACAGTTTCTGTTGTATATTGGGCGAATTTTTATTATTTTTATTTTATATAAAGTTTTAATATTACTTGTTTCATTTTATGTTATTCATTATTATTATTATTATTATTATTATTATTATTATTATTATTATTATTATTATTTATAATAATAATGTCCTTAGAAATGACAACCCTACTTTATTAATTATTAAACACTTTGTTATGAATAATCAAGACTGGTCTCCCCTTGTTTTGTTACTCTCCTCTTTGAGAGAGCTATTTCTGTTTACTGGGACTATAAAATGACACTATACGCAAACCTTGTATTCTCAGTTGAATAAAGCTTTCTTAAAGCCTACGTCTGCGTACTTTTGTCATTACACACTTTATTAAACATTAAATATTATACTATCAGCATAAGAAACTTAGTCAAATTATTCAATAGTTTTTCGTGAGCCTGTTAGATTTTTGCTTTGTTTTTTTGCATTGTTATTCCTTTTTTTTGTTTGTTTATTTGTTGTTGTTTTTTGTTTCTGCTTCTATTTTTTTATTTTTTATTTTATTTATTTATTTTTTTTATTTTTATTTTTTTTTTTTTTTGCATTTTTCCCTAATTTGATTGCTACTCATCCACTACCTTCCTTACAGGAGTTGTTATAAATCACTGGTCACGTGACATAATACTGAATTTTATTTCTGATTTTTATTCTTGATCTTACATACAATAAAAAATGAAACAATTGTAAAGTGAAGAAAAGAAATAAAACTATTTTAAGAAATGTCCGCACACGAAAATGACATTAAACTTTACATTTTTCGATTCTTTAAACATATCTTTGTTTCAAATCAACGTTTTCAGCAAACGACAAGGATCTGAAAGTGTTTTAAAATCGTACGATAAAAAATACATTTCAATTTTTCGCAAATAAATATTGATAAAAAAATTCTTTTTTTTTCTGTAGAAACAAAAAAATATACAGTATATTTTATTAAAATTGTGTATCAGCATAAAAAATCATTTTTCGTTTGTTTTTTTTTTTTGTTTTCGTTTTTTTTTTTTAATTAATTTCTGAAAATTTCGTCCCATATTTCCGATGTGTTTACAGCCGATATTAAATATTTCTTTTAATGGTATAAAACCGACGGGTGACTTACAAATCTAAAAATTACGAACATCCAAAATATGGATTAGGTTGATATAATTGACATGAAAAAATATTTTCATAAAGCTTAAAATTAAAAATTA